TTAGTAGCTGTTACATGATACATTTTCTTTTCTCTGAACTTATTACAGATTCATCGGGTTGTACTGGTTCATAATAAGTGTCAATAATTAAGTTTTCCTTCAGCCATTGTGGATTGTTCCACCACTTAGCCTTCACTAATTGTTGTTAAGTACATCCTCTTGAAGATGGATCTGCTGAGTTCTGTGAATCCGCAACGATATAACAATAATTTGTGCTACTAAGTTTTCTAATTTCATTCATTATATTAGGCCACAAATGTAGCCCAAACATCTTCTCATTTAATCCAACAAAAAAAAGCATTACTTGAATCTATCAAGTATAAAGTTTAATGTCCATTAGATGTATGTCTCTTCTTATCATTGCAGCTAGTTGAGCAACCAGTGAGGCAAACTATTAATTCTAAGTGAGGTATTGTTGTCACTTTTATTGAAGTTATTCTAGACTTAGCTTGTACTAACTGACTATGTGCCTTTTTATTAGTTTTTATTGTAAGAAATATGCATGTTGCCTAGGCCATTTTGCTGTGTGTTGACTCATTTTATCAGGTTTATAATCCAACGAGGAATTTTAGTATCTTTAAAGAATTTGACTATGCCATAAATTAAATGTTTTTGAAATCTTCTCTGGCACTTCTTGATTCCATGAGAGTTTCAGTCTGCAACATTTTTACAGTACTAATTTAGGCAGCAGATTCAAAAAATAAGAGAATCCAGTTGAATCAAAAATTGCTTGAGCTAAGAATAAAATTTTCCTTTTCATTACTAATGATACTCCTTGTGCTGGAAAGTTCTTTGTATCGCAGATGAGAATATCTTCTTTTATGTCCCAGACAAAGACTAATACAGAAATACAATTTGTTTCCAATTTTTATATGCTTTTAAAGAAAGTTCACTTTCTGAGAATAATCTGGGCTTCTCATTTTTCTCAAGTGTATTTTATTGCAAGTCCAGAAGAGCATCTGACATTATCCTTTTTGCTGACTTTATAAATTTCTCAACTTCTTCAAAATTGTTGAAACTAGCATGCAATTATCAATGTAAAATGTTCGACTTTTTGGCTGTTTCTTGATTTTTTTCCTCAGCATTATCCAAATGATATGCTATAATAGCACCTAATAAAAAAATCTGATGTGTACACCACATGACTTCCTTGTACTGAATATTAAATTATACGCATTTTTTCTTGCATTTCATTTAAACTTATTGGATTGAATTAAATATACTTCGTCAATAGCGCATAAACCACAATAGAATAAATGCACTCTTTTAAATTCACCATATTTGTTTATCATAGCGACACTCTGGCGCTAGGTTCACTAGGTTATATTTCGTTCATATTATAACTCAATGCACAAAATTTATATCATTTGGAGAATTATCTAATCATTGTCACATGTTCTATTCGAATACTATACTAAATCTAGAATGATGTATAAAAGAAATTAAGCAAATAAGACAAAAATGAAACAGTTTTTCACAGACGATTCAATATTTGTCATTCAATTAACTCAGTTCTTACTTTGCAACAAGGCAAAAATACATAAAAACTGAAAATATCTTAAAAATTACAAAGTAAATCTTAAACACTTATTTCCTCGAAAAATTCTAGAAAGTATTAAGCATGATTTAATTCGCAGTAATAAATGAAGGCATTATCTTTGTTGTTGCAAAGTTTATTCTCTCTAGATTGGCAACAAATCTACTATTGTGCTGTTTCAAATGTAGGCATAAAAACCTTAACCCAAAGATAAGAACAACATAATTCAATCATTTTTAAAGCAAAAAGTGCACAATTTACAAACATATAAGAGTAAAGAAACTGAGATCACTGAGCCAGGTAACAGAGTGGATATATATATGAATATATGTATATACGTTTGGTGCGGCCGAATGCAACCAAAATATGAGATGCACATCTACATGTTATAGCAGTCCTATATACAAAATTTCAACGTTCTGAGGCTATTTATTTTCGAGTTATGCGAGATACATTCGTAGAGACACCACGAAAAATTCTCTTCAGAATTCATTTTAAAGCAGTTTTATAATTTTTTAAGTTATAAATTTTAAAGAGTCTTTTATTCTGTCCTTACATACAGATGTCACGCAAAAACATTGTTAAATTGCATTCGATAGAGGTCAAAATAGATATTTTCGTTGAAATATACTGCCTGAAACTTTGCGATTACAGTACTTCCTTTTTACTTCATACAATGAAGTAAAAAAGGAAGTAATTTCATTTGGAGTGTATGAAGTAAAAAAGGGCTTGAAATTACTCCAATTGGTACTCTGCAATTGATAGATCACTAAATTATTTGAATCACCATGTAGTCAAACTTAGCTGCAGAATGTCTTGATATGTATCAGCTTCTATATCTTTTCAGATGAAATCATAAAATTATAAAAGGTATCAGTTCTACCATAATTGGACCCTTTTCTAAGCAAGAATTGAGAGAAACAAAATTTGCTTTTATGTTATGTTATGACAAGAAAACAAACATTTGGTGTTATATTTCATAATTTTCCCCTTACTATCCATCCCAAATAAGTTTTAATTGCAGTTAATCCATATTTCAATTTCCTCACTCTGCCAGTCATCAACTTCCCGGCAATATTTGGCCGGATAAGAAGTTGTATTTTTGTAGATCTTGATTATTATTGTAATTAATATGTGTAGGATTACTATTTGTAGTAATATTGTGTTTTATTATTTGTAGTACCTTTATTATTATTGTAATCTGTCAGCAATATTCCTTGTCATCTAAGTTCTTTCATCCATATTCCTTTTGTCACGCATTTAACCGCAGCACATATTTCATTTTGGTCATTAATGTTTGGTCATAAAGTACATTTATAAGAACCTTCTATACTGCTTATTTGAAATTCGATAATTTTATGCTTCTGAACTAATTCCGTACATTCAAAAAGATTTATGTCTCATTTTTTTCTTCACTCGCTGGTTCATACCCCCATATCTGAAGCCAGTTCTTTAAAAAAAAATATGGTCTTTGAGACCAGTATCAACAAGGACTCTAATAAGCCAAGCAATTCTAATTTCCATGAATTCAGGACTTCAGAGTTGGCATCAGTACTTCTGGCATATTTGTTTGATTCATTAAGAGTATGTCGTTTAACTTTGGCTTTCTGGTCATGTTTATTCATTTTGGTTTCCCTGCATTCACTTTCCCTGGACAACACAAACAAATCGTTAAATGTACCATACATTTAATAAATTTTTTGCAGTTTTTAGATATACATTTAATAGATTTACACTCTATAAAATCCTGGTTCATACCACAAAAAGCACAGTTTCCTTTTTTTTTTTTTTTTTTTTTTTTTTTTTTTTTTTTGTCTCTTTCCATTTTGTCAATTCATCTTTAAAATGTCCCTTGGCTGTAGGAATTTCAGTCTGCTGTGCCTCCCTGTTTTTTATTTTTTGAAAATATTTTCGTTTGTGATCAGCTTTTTACATTAAACCCTACCCTGACTATTTTTATTCTCTTTTCACCTTCAACTCTTTTTTTTTTTTTTTTTTTTTTTTTTTTCTTTATGTGAAATATTATTAATAGTTCTAATTTATTTGTTCACCTTGTCAGCTCAAGCTAAATTTATTCCCCATAATCTTAAAATATGATCTAGTAAACAGGCTTCAATCATAGGATACAGCATAGGAACATATTATGTGGTTGCAATCTTTAAATTTTTTTAATACATAAAGTATGTTTGTGTTTTATCATGGTTTAAAAACAGAAATTTTATATGCAGAATTACTACTATTTTTTATTAGTAAACAGAGTAGTTCCCTCACATACCAAAAGATCGTTTTTCCCAAATCTATCTCTCTTTTTTCAAATATTTGATAGCTTTATTATAGTTTTCAGAAATAAGTGGAAAACGCCCTACAGGATCTCATTTTTAGGTTCAGATTTCACAGATTCAATTTTCTGACCTTCATGAATTTTTCTAAATTGCTGACAAAATCCTTACCATTAAACTTTCTTCATTCGATTTTAGGAAGCTTAAATTTCCTTTTAACAGCTTAATTTTTATCTCTCTGTAAAATGTTATCCTTTTCGTTAAAGTAATGTTTTAGTCTAGTAACTTTCGTTTTGAAATATATTAATTTATTACTGTGTGATTCAATGGTTTCTATTTCTTTTTCAAATTCATCATTAGAACATTTGGCACTTTTAATTGTAGTATCTGCTTATCCAAAGTATTTATTTTTTGCTATTTATCATTATGTTGAGCGAAAAGAACAGTAATCTTATCTAAATCTAATGTATCAATCTTTAAAAGTTCATCCAAATTATTCTCAGTCTTAGTAAAATTTATTCTTCAACACCCTCTAAAGCATTTATGTTCTTTGTAATTGAAATCAAAAATAGTGTTATCACAGTCCATATAGCAGATTCTAATAAATAATTCAAACTTCTACAAATATTCATTTCAGAATCAAACAGTCAATTTTTAACAATAATACTATCTGTTTAAAATAAAAACTCAAAAGTCTTTATTTCATAGTTGTGATAAATCTTAAAACGAAGTTCTCGGCATCCTGTCGTTAACACCATTTGTTATACATTGAAATATAAAATATCTAAATCTTAAATCAAATTTATTTTTTATTTGGATTCAGTCAGGCTGTCAAGTAAATCTTCATCAATTCACTAGTAACTGAACTCAAAACTATATTCATAAATTAAATACATCACAATAGTTGTTTACATAGTTTGTTTAGTATCATTTCTCAGTTCTCAACGAAACAAAACAAAGTAATCTACATCATTCGAGTGCTGTTACTCAGCACCCTCTATCCTGTCAATTTCATGATTTCCTGGTAATGTGATTTTGAGTAAAAACATTCTGAATTTTACAGCCCAATGCTCACAAACTTTCAAATATGAATTTATTGTTCTTTCCATATCATTTTATGTTATTTATGTTATTTGTATTTTTAATTTTGTATTTGTTTAAAGTATTGCATTTTTATTTTGTAGGATTTCACTCAAGAGCATTTTGTACAGTTTATGGGTCTAATGTCACAAATACAGCAAAGGTATGTCATTATAATCTTAATAAGTATGCATGCATTATATATATATATGTATATATGAGATTAAATTCGGCTAGGGCCCACCAGTGGCCGAGCGGTAAAGTCGCTGAACACTGGTAGTTCGGTCCGAGGTTCGAATCCTGCGAACGGGCTGGCTGCATATGCGTTTTCGTGGTTTTCCCCATGTGTAACGTGTATGCGAGCCAGTTTCCCTTAGAAAGTCCTCCACGAAGGCATCCCTCCCCTTAGGCAGATAGCCCTCGAGGCTTTGCCATAATCACACACACACACAAATTCGGCTGGGATATTGCAAAAAGCAAGATTTGGCATGCTGCAAATTAAAACCAGATGTGACAAACCATGAATTTTATCAAATTCAAATCTAAAAGGTTCTTGAATCCTTCATATAAGAGTAAGAAAAAAAAATAGTTTTTTTCCTCTTAATATTAAAAGCTTTTAATTAAATCAAAACTTAAAATCTCTGTGTGTTGAATAAATTTTGTAAAGCATTTTTAAAAAATATATTTAACAAAAGAATATGGGTGAAATTTAGCAAAGGGAAAACATATAATTAAAGTTTTTGGATCTTAAGCTTAATTTTCTCAATATAATATGATAAATAAAATTCAATAATGGGTTAAATTTGAAAAACCTTTTTTTAGAATCTTTTTAAGTGACTATAGAAAGAAGAGTATTTTTTCAGCTGTGAGCATAGCTTAAAAACAGATGTGTGCTAAATTCTGCCCAGAAAATTAATGTGTGACATTCAGGGCTGCCACAAGGGATTGTAAGTAATCTAACTCCATTGAAGTAGCTCCTACTGGATGTAGGTAAAGTTAATCATTTCAAAGTTTTAATTAAAAATTTTTAATAATAGATTTTTAGATTAATATTCAAAAGATGTGAATAATAAAAATGCACAAAGCTTTAAATTTTCAAAATCTTGATTATCTAATTTGTGGGGTTAAAAGATTCAAACGTACTATCTACGAATGACAAAAATGTGAACAGTTTTTAAGAAAGCAGGGAGAAAGCCCAAAAGCCACATTTAAATCCCAAAGGTAAGTGGATAAAGTAACATCTAGTGAATAAAATATGAATTACTATTACTAGTTTAGAGCCTAGGTAAACTACTAGTATGTCAAAAGAAGAAATGGAAAATGAACATATGCCATTAACCAGAGGGGGTATATATTAAATTTTGTTTGTTGCATTTTTGAGTTTTTCACTTGTACAGCATAGTTTCTGAAAATAATTTAAGTGCCTTAAATTTAATGAACCAAAAATTTAATTGGTGTAAGTGAAAATCTATTTTGATATGGCGTTAGAAAGACTGGAATAATTGGAACCACTGGTTCCCATAAGTATAAACCGAAGATGAAGTTAAAAAAAGTAAAATTGTTTTAAATAGAGTAAATATTAGGCATTTAATTCTGGCAATTGCATCTATCAGAAATAAAAGCAGGTTACTAGAAATTTAAATCCATTTTCAGAATAAAATGGCAAATTCAAACTTAGAAAATGAGTGGTTTAACTTTATATGGCAGACTTGAAAAAGTATACATGCTTTAAGTTATGTATTGAGTCATTCAGAAAGATGTGTGGGTTCTTTTTTATGATAAATACAAATGAAGTACAAAAACATAAAATTTCATTGAGTCATATAAGCACCATTTTGATGTATGACTTTTTTGCTATCTCTCTAGCAGCTGGAAAGTTTCTTTTTAAAAATAATCATTGGGTTGCTTTGTTAAGAACTTATCGAAGTATTGTTCAACAGTCTCTAAAGAAGAGAACTCCTGGCCATTCAGAGAATTTTGAAATGACTTGAATAGATGAAAATCTGAGGAAATTTTAGTGAATATTTGAGGGGAGAGGTTGACACAAGCCATTGCAACCTATTCAATAAGTCTTTGTCTTAAATTCATCAAAATGTTCTTCTGCGTTTAAAACTGCCATTTGGGAACAGTATTTTTCCAAATTTGTCTGATTTGGTGGGATACCTTTGTAATCTTGCAGTGCACAGAACATACAGTGGATGGACAAAAATATGGAAACACCTTGTGAAATTGTTTCTTGTTTGAAAAGAAAGATTGATTTTAATGAAATATGTAGGTGGCGCTGGCGTTTTTGACTACTGATGCCACCTATACAACTTCGTAAATGTGCTAAACAGTTCAGTTGTTGTCAGAGTACTGTTATGTGAGGTTGTCATTGCATTATGTCAGAGTTAACAGACTTCGAACATGGGCAAATTGTTGGAGCACGTATGGTAGGTGCTTTCGTAAGCAAGGTAGCCAAGGTGTTTAGTGTTTCAAGAGGTACTGTATCGAAGATTTATTCCGCATATTTGAAAAGCGGAAAAACATCATCTGCTAAATCACAGCGCGGACGAAAGTGTGTCCTGAGTGATCGTGACAGACGATCATTAAGGGCAATTGTGACGAAAAATAAGAAGACCACAGCTGCAAAATTTGCTGCTGAAATGAATGTTGTGTTACCGAACCCTGTGAGTACCAAACAATTAGAAGGGAGCTTCATAAACAGGGAATTGCTGGCCGTGCTGCAATTGAGAAGCCACTCATCAGTGATGCTAATGCCCGTAACAGGAAAAGGTGGTGTTTAATTCGTAAAGCCTGGACTATAGAGCAGTGGAAGCGAGTAATATATGGTCTGACGAGTCTTCTTTGACATTGTTTCCCACTTCTGGCCGAGTTTACGTCTGGAGAACGCCATCTCAAGCCTATAATACAGACTGCTTGTTGCCAAGAGTGAAACATGGTGGGGGTTCTGTTATGGTTTGGGCAGCCATATCGTGGTTCTCTGCTAGCCCCATGATAACTGTGTCAGGGCACATGACTGCCAAGACTTATGTGAGCATTTTGGCCGATCAAGTTCATCCCATGGTACAAACTTTGTTCCATGATGGTGATGGTGTCTTCCAAGACGACAAAGCCCCTGTTCACACAGCTCACATTGTCCAGGACTGGTTTTCTGAGCACGAAGATGAGTTGTCCCATCTCCCCTGGCCACCACAGTCACCAGACCTGAATATTATCGAACCTTTGTGGTCTAAATTGGAACGGTTAGTAAAGTGCAAAGTGCGTTCTCGTTATCCACCGCCAACATCGTTATCTGAACTTGCCACCGTTTTGCAGGAAGAATGGTATAATATTCCCTTGGCTGTATTTATCCATTCCGAGAAGACTGCAAGCTGTTTGGATGCCAACGGGTTTCCTATACCATATTAAGCAAAGAAACATGTTTTTTTAAAGGTGTTTCCATATTTTTGTCCAACCCCTGTAACTTATTTAAGATGCTGCCCTCCTCTCGATGTAATTAAAGGAATTTCTTTTGGCTTAACCCATGAGATCTTTTCTTGTAACATTATTGTACAAGATCTACTTACACAATAAGCCATTTAAAAAAAAAAAAAATAGAGGCTCTTTATTTTTTTATAACAAAGAGCCAATACTGAAACTTGAATGAACATGTTCCGTCCTATTAACAATATGTGGTACATGTACATTGTAGCAGCTTGTATACCGAACTGATAGTAGTTTGTGTATGAAATATTCATAATATTTATGGAAATTATTTAACCAATTCTATACCCCTCTCCTTAATACTTGGAGGGCATCCTCCATTCACTGGATGAGAACAGGGAAATGTAACATCAGGCAAAAAAGCAACATAAGTTTGGCATAGATGTTTCCTAGGGATTTTCTTTCCTTTTCGCTTTTTTAAAAAAAAATAGATTAGGGTTTCATTTTTAAATAATTTTTATTTATTTATTTACTCCTAAAGAAGAAGAACCTGTGTGTGATCATTTTAAAATGTTTTAAAATTTTAAATGTTTGACTAAAATGGAGAAGGATGCTGTTTGGCCACATAATTCCTTATTTGGCAACATCTTTCTGATTCGTGGCACTTTTTCTAATCTTTTTGTTACCTTATTTGGCAACTTTATTTCTTGTTTGGTGATTTTACTTCAGTAAAAAAAAATATTTGATAGCATTCTGATAATAGTAACCAATTTATTGATCACAGGAAGTGATGTATTTTCACCTTTCATATAGAAATGGGCCAGACTTCAGCAATTCGATAACCATATCCAAATGATAACATTGACACTGAAATCTTATTTAGCATCGTCTATTATAGCATTTGCAGAAAATCTAAAATAATATATTACATAATCTAAAATTATGTAATAGCACATGCAGATAATCTAAAGTAATATAGATTTCTGAATTGAGTATGGTATTACATTTATTCAAATATATTTTATTTGAATATTATTTTATTAAAATATATTTGTTTCTTCTTTTATTCAAACATACTTTATTACTTTAGTTTTAATTTTTAATTTTTAGCATATCAACGAGGTCCTGTACCAGCAGGCAGCCGAGCACAAATAAAAATATTTCATCCACAGCACACTCTGCTGAATCATCCAGACATTTCACAAATGGTAAAGTCCCAGCTGTGCCTAGCTGTTTACAGGTTCAGCCTTCTCCTGAAGATAAAAAAGCCACATATGAGACATCTGTTTAGCAAGGATGACTTAACTGTTTTCTCTATCCTGTGGTTTTATATTTCTTGGTTGTGATAACATTCCTAATTTTTAGGAATAAATTTGTTATTTATTTGTAAATAATAATTAACGGAAACTGTAATATAGTTTTAAATTCAGTCATGTTTAAATGGCTTGCAATTATATCTTTATTCACATTCTTGTACTGGTTTAAAAAGTAAATTTTAAAAAGGGAAAAAAGTTTATTTAAAATAAAGGGTGCTGCAGAAAATACCAAGTATATGTATATTAAGCAGAAGTATATGGTAGAATACCAGCTGTATGTAGGAAAGCACTTGAGCATAAAAGAAAATTATTAATTATGTTCTTTAAGGATGAGGTACAATAAAAAGTAACCTACTTATAAGTAAAGATGCAGTATTTTTATTGGAGGAGAATCTCATTAAGTTATTTAATTATATTTCATATTTATCAATTAAAAATTTTTTAATTGAAATTTTTTAAATATATGGGAAACATAATATCAATGCATCATCCTATTCCGAAGATGATAATTATGGCAGCATTTGTTATATAATTGAGGTGAATAAGTTTAATATTAAGTTTTAATTTATTAGTGCTTATCCTATGTAAATACATATAAATTTTATTTGGCAATGAAAAATAAATTGCCGTTTCAGTATTGATATTAAATATTTCTTCTGAAGTATTTTAAAATTATAATATCCATTTAAGATTAAAAGAAGGAAATTCTCCGAAATTGCTTTTGTTAAGTATGTATATTCATTTGTCATTTGAATTACATGCTTGGTCTAAACATTATGCAATGAAAATACATGACATTTCAGCATAATATTTTTAAAGGGGGATATTTATTAGGAAAAATCAATAGAAAAAGTTGCATAAAACTTCTGTGGTCTTTCCTCAAATATTGCTGTATTTTTTTTTAAATTAAATTATCTGTATTTCCATGTATAAGCCGAGAATTGTTTTGGTTTTGAAGTTTAGCTTATATGAAAGATTAGAGTGATTTATAAAGATTCAAAGTGACTGACTTTCTTTGCAAAAATGAATAATTGAAGAAATGTTAATAACTTAAATTAATTTTATGAATATATTTTAAAATTTAACTCTAATGGACACTGCGCAAAAAAAAAAAAAAAAAGTTCTATATCTCCTGTTCTACTGGGCTGATTGACGAAATTCAAATGACATTTTTCATGACTTAAAAGCACTACTTATGATATATATTGGATTTATATATAGCATTATTCTAACATAGGTATTTTGACACAATATCAGTATTTTTCTGAAATAACATGCCAATTTTTTTTGCATATTTCGATTCTACGACTCAAATAATGCATAAATATTAAATTTTGTAAAATATGGTGCTAAATTTACGGAGAAATTCAAAAATTTATCTTAGTGCTATCTTTTCTGTTTGCATCAAGACTAGTTCACTTGGCGAACTTCTTAATAAATGGCAACCTAATTTCATTTCCCTTTTTACATTGTGTGTGAGCGGAAAAAAAGTTACATTGTTCTTTCTTTCAAGTAATGTTCTTTATATTATATTTTTAATTATAATTGTTATTATTTTTAATATTTTTTTCTTTTTCGAATTTCATTTTAATATTTTAAATTGCATGGTTTCTTTCAAATAACTGTTTTAAAAATTTCTATTTACTCATTCGAACTGCATAGTTTATATAAAAGGCGCATCGTTTTATATTTTTTAATCATAGTTATTATTTTAGGTAATTTTTAAATTTTTAGACTTTTATTTTAATTGTTTGTACTGCATTGTCTCTTCAGATAATTGTTTTAAAATTTTATATTCTTTCATTCAAACTGCGCATTATAAATATATTTATTAATATAAATTTTCCAGAATTTGATTTTTCTTTCAGAAGAATACTTTGTGATCCAGACTACGATGCGTTTCCAAACTGTGTATATTAAAAGAGAAAATACAGTAAAGCACAGTTAACATGCCTTTCATTGTTCCGTTTAGAAAAGATATATAAATAAGACAAGATGTATAGCCGACATTTTAATTTAGGATGACTTGTATACAATGCTTTAAACAGTTTTATCATTGTGCCCGTTCCTTTACACCATTTTATCATCCTACGTTTAATTTCTTAGAATGTTATTCATATTTTAGTCAAATATTTTATTTTTGAAATCACAAGAATCAAATATCATTAAATTAAAAAATCTTAAATTAAAAAAAATACTAAATTTTATGCAAAAGTTTATTTTTTCTTCTTAACAGCTTGCTCTTTTTCTTCGGGCATTCTGCAAAAATATTAAAAAGCATCCAACTTTTCTAAATATCTTGGTATATTCAGCATTAATTTTAAATAACGTTATCACCTTTCAAAAGGGCCCACAAACGGCCCAGCGTTAAAGTCGCTGAACATAGTTTGCTCTGGGGCTCGAATCTCACAGAACGGTCTGGTTGCAGGGGCATTTTTGTGGGTTTTCTCATGTGTAACGTGTATATACGAGCTGGTTTCCCTTAGAAAGTTCTTCACAAAAGTATCTCTTCTTTTAAGCAGATAATCCTGCTTTGCCATAACTTAACAATCCAATCCAATCTACAAGGTGTGACTATTAATTTTCAGGACTGCTGTAATAACACCAGAACAGATAATGAGAAAAACTTAACCTTTTAATATGTTTCAAAATAATCCCCATCGGCCATAACACACTTTTGTGCTCGGCTGTATAAGTTGTGGAAACAACTTGTAAAGTCCTCTTTCAGAAGGCTCTTCAATGTCGACGTCATGTTCTTCTTGATGGCTTCAGCATCCACAAAGCGTGTTCCTTTGATCGCAGTTTTGAGTTTGGGAAACAAAAAGAAGTCTGCAGGGACCAAATCAAGAGAGTATGACCGAACATTCCCAAACTCATTTGGTCAGAGCCTTTATTAGACTTTAGAGACTAGTTTCATCAAGAGGGAAAATGTCTTTATACATTATCCATATATGTCACTGGATAAATTCCTGAATTTTCAAGTAATTTGATTGAGAAATCATAGGATGCTCCGTTTATGATATGATATGATGTTCTATGACGAAATTTAAATTTATACAACCATATAGTCGAAAACCAATCGCTCTTCACTTTAATCTGCAGTGATATCGTTTTTATCTTTCCCGTTAGCAGAAACTCAACTGCTTCTATTTGCTGGTGTACACGTCCAAGTGTTTTCTCTTTGGACACCCAACTTCCTTGAATTAGATTCCTATTTTTTGCTTTGCCCCCAATCTCCTTCTGCATTTGGTTTCTTTGCTGATACAAGAAAATTAAGATTTTTCAATTGTCACACTCCCATTAATTTTGCATTCTTGTGAAAGTTTTTAAACTATCAGTTGCATCTACATTTCAGCCGAAGACAGCTTTTCATTTTCTAGACATTTTAACTATAAATAAAATTTAAAGCAAAGTCCAAAGGATAAATATTTGAATTAAAAGATTTGTGTTAAATGAGAAAGAAACCACTGCAGCAGCGCTTATCCTGTACCACCGAGTGACTCGATTCTTATATCGGGTGCAAACAATCTAAATCATATTATTTAGAGTTTGTAAGCCTAATAATTTCTATATGAAAGAACATATTTTTTATATAATCTACAACATGAGAGGAAATTACTACTTAAAATATTCTTTCTAAGAGGATTAATGTAAAAATTTATATATATATATTTTTAAAGCTGAGACATGACCCAAACTGTCAACATCTTGTGTGCTTAAAAACATTGGGGAGATTACTACTTAAAAAGTAATAAAGATATACATCTTTATTACTTTATGAATACTAATTTATGAATTATTTATTACTTTTACATCAGATATGAAGATAAACATCAAATGAACTTTCTTAATTTCAGGCAATTCAATTTAAATGAAGTTAAAGTAAAGTAGCAGACGATAACACAGCAAAGGTAAAAATTTACTCTCACAAATATTTTTTAAAAAGGGAAAAAATAAAGAAACTTTAAAAAAAGTTAAAAATTTGAATAATATCATCTGTAATTTAAAAAATAGCTTTTCATACAACATTAAAAAATATTTATTACGCATCATTGAGGGAAAAAATTTTGTATAGTTAATTCTCTGTAAAAATTTATTTGAAATGTAAGGTTAAAAATAGCTGTGGCAATTCACTGTAACAAAATCCATAAACTACATTTGGTGTTATTATCGCTCAGAAAAAAAAAAAAAAATTCCAAATTTTGAAATGCAAAAATATGTAAATTTGTGTATATCTTAGAAAATTTTGAATAAAAAACACTAATTTTTTGCAGGTATGCTTAGAAATACACCTACTTTAAGATGATGGTAAAATTTTATAGGTTATAATTCAAAATTTTTTTTCGAAAAATTTATAAAAATTATTTAAAAATAAATCATAAAAAATGGGTGAATTTTTTTTGGGATGAACCTAAATTTCGAAATGTGAAAGGAAGAATAAAAAAAATTGATACAAAAAGAGATATTAATAAATATATACCAAATTCAATTAACATAGAGGATCTAAAGTTTTGGGAGCTAATTTTTCAAAGCTACTTGTGCGATTTTTACAAAACTTGGCAGTCTTAGCAGCCGTAGAATCGAAATATGGAAAATAATTTATATGTTATTTCAGGAAAAGTCCGATTTTGTGTCAAAATACCTATGTTAGAATAATGCTATATATAAATCTAAAATCTATCCTAAGTCACGCTTTCAAGAGATGAAAAACGCAATTTGAATTTCTGGCCCAGGAGAACTGTCCCGCCCTTTTTCTTGTGCATTAATCAAATTTCTGAATATCATTATACAACTGAAAATTTTCTAGAGATTCTCTGAAGTCTCTCTGCTATACACAAGCTCAATTAGTGGCAAATGGCCATCATTTCACCACTAACATCATCAACATCTGCCTTGTAGATAATATCTTCAGTTCCATTCATATCATACCTAGTTTACTTTCCAAATAGATAGGGCCTGTTAATCAAATGCACTCACTTTCATCTGATAGGTCTAGCTAGTTTTCAAACTGTTGCTGTTATATAATAGATTGATTTATGGGGTGATTTTAAATTCAGCTTATATTCAAGTTTTTGAGATTCTGCAGTAAAATTTTACATCTCGGTTTTTACATGGATTGGAAATATATTGTATATTTTTTATACTTAGAGGTTTATATGTCTTTTTTCTTTAACGATATATGTTGCCTATCTTTTTATTTCCTTTACATTAAAGAAATTATATGAGTTAAGTAAAATCTTTCTTTTTTCCCTTCCCTCTGAAATTCTTGAGAAATTACTTGTATTTTATTATTTTTGTTTGAGGAATCAATGCTCTAACTTTTAAAACAGGTTTTAGTCAAGTTTGTTTTAGACAAAGTTGAACAAAATTTTTATATTTAGATTTTTTCATAATTTTTTTATGCTGTATTTTCTCATCAGCTGTTGCGATGTTTGAAATAGGTTAAAATATTTTTATATTGCATAAACATTTTTTAAAAAATTAAAAGTAATTACTCAAATTCAGGGTTGGAAACTGAATGTAAATATAAAAGACCTTGTGATTTTTCCACTTGTTAAATTAGGAAAATGCTGAAAAAGAAGTATTTAATAAATTAAAATACAAAATGCATTATTCATTTTTGTATAATTAGCTATCAGTCATGTAGTATACACTTCTTTTTAATTCATTCAAGAAGTTATTTGAAATTGCGTAAATTATTTAGTGTGATTAATTGTTTTTATTCACAGTAGTCTTATACTTTTATATTAACACTGTGATACAAATTGAGTTACAATGTTAGACAACCTTAGTTATAACTTTTAGACATATGTTACTGAAAATACTTCATTCAGAATTCATGGATTTTGTTGTTTTATTAAGATGTGCCGAATATATGTGTAATTAAGCCAGGTATTAGTTGTCATGTAATATTTAATCAGTGGTTTTATGTTGAAAATATATCAGACTTTAGCTGAGACTATAGTAATAAGTATATCTGACTTCACATCACATTATTGTTCTTTTTTCTTTTAATTTTATTTAAAAAGGTGAGCTTGTGTTTATTTGTATAGCTAATTTTTAAGAGAGCATAATTCTATTTGGAATTTTTAAATTTAATGCATTTTTTAAAAATGCATGTAGCCTATTTCTGACCCTGAGACCATTTTGTAAATAGTTAAATTTTTTTGCTTTTCCACTTATAATGGTATCTGGAATGTTTATAAAATATATACAAAGCATTGTATGTTAGTATGCCCAAAAATAAGAAGCACAACTGTGATATTACTTTTCAGATTCATCAAAAATAATTAGATATTGTTCAGTAAATAGTAAGAAAAGTTCTCTTTCTGACTTAAGATACAGTTACTTTACAGGTTTTTAGTTTGATTCCAAAAAAGGGCTCCTGTGAATAAATAATATAAAGTAGTTTTGAGTTAAAATAATCAGCAGTCTATAGCCTTTTTTGCATAATTTCTTTCTGTACCTTTAAATTTTGTTATTTAACAGAAACAAATGAAATATAATTTATTTACATTGTTATATAATTGATCTTTAAAACTGCTGCTAAAAATATTTTTCTGAAATTGACATATTTTGTTCTG